ACTTAATAATAATGTAACACCATTTTTCAAGGTAATTTTGTCCTTACGACGACTTGCAACAATCCATTTTAGAGAAAAGTCTTCCATTTTCGGAAATCGAAAGTACCTATTTTATTTCCACACACAACCTGGCATTTTGGAATTTTCACTAATGATTACTTAGCTATCAACACATTAATGCTTAGCTATCAACAAATTAACACTATAAAACTCGTAAATACAACTGAAAAGGTGCAAACTGTCACGCGTGACATCTGTACTGGATTTTTCCGTGCGTAAACATTTGAATTTTGGCGCCACACGTTGGCAGGTGACGTAATGCGCAGTAGAAAACGCGTTTGAGAAAAATAATGAGCATACCGTGNAAATCACAAGGTTAGTTGACAAATCATACTGATTTGTGTAGAGATCCTCGCGTAAGTTATTTCTGGGATTTCGTGATCGTGTGAAATAAACTCTAACCAAAATTGACCCTAAACATGAAATGCGGCTGTTATATAATTAATGCGTTATCAAAAGATCTAATCTCTCCTCCGTGTCCCTTTTATTTTGATTTTCATTATTACGCGGTAGTTTTAAAGTAGGTAAAGCATCAGGTTTCAAACATCCGCTGTTTTTAAAAGTAGGTCTAATTAAGAAGTCGTTCCCTTAGCGGTGCTTCAAAACGGCTGGCTTCAAAATGTTCATAACAAATACAGGATATAGGATTATACAGCAATGGAAAGACTTAAACACACCACTTAATAATAATGTAACACCATTTTTCAAGGTAATTTTGTCCTTACGACGACTTCCAACAATCCATTTTAGAGAAAAGTCTTCAATTTTCGGAAATCGAAAGTACCTATTTTATTTCCACACACAACCTGGCATTTTGGAATTTTCACTAATGATTACTTAGCTATCAACACATTAATGCTTAGCTATCAACAAATTAACGCTATAAAACTCGTAAATACAACTGAAAAGGTGCAAACTGTCACGCGTGACATCTGTACTGGATTTTTCCGTGCGTAAACATTTGAATTTTGGCGCCACACGTTGGCAGGTGACGTAATGCGCAGTAGAAAACGCGTTTGAGAAAAATAATGAGCATACCGTGTGTAAGTGTATCGTGATCAAAATGGTATTTTAATAGAAATAGAGCAGTATGAAATAAAATGTTTTAAATTATTTGTATGTTAAATCAGTTAACGTTACTCGTTTCGAAAATTCCTGCCTCAGCTACGCTTCGGCAGTAAACATCTCACTCGTTAACGTAAACCTTGATTTACCATACTCATATGTAAATAGCTATTATCATATTACTAATTCCATTACATATTAGTATATTAAGTATGGAGAACGGTAAGGGATTTTTACCGTTCGAAGACAATTGTTTGGAGGAGGAGCGAAGCGGATGATTGCTTTGTGCAAATTTACAGTTTGTTGTAGGCAGTGTCATTAGATTATTACGGTCTTACTACACGGACGTAACTGATGTCGGGAATTTTCATCAAGGGTAATATAACAAGACCTTGATAAATAGTCGACTATTTTGATTGCATCTAAATTTTGATTGTATTTTATAATAATTTAACGAGACATATTAATTTTGGCGTTAATAATCTGATGAAAGCCCGAGAGCGAAGCTCGAGGGCTTTCATTTATGATTATTAACGCCAAAATTATGTCGAGTCAAATTAATAAATACAAGAGAAATTTAGCAGCAATCAAAATAGTTGCTTATTAATCAAGGTCGTGTTATATTTATGAAGATTATTTCTTGAATCCAATTATTTATATCAGAGAGGCATATTCACAAAATGAAACAGTTTGATATCATTTATGCAAAATATCAACATAAGTATCATTTGACTGAATTGAATTCCACATACACTTTACACTGTGTTCTTTATAACCTTATTCCCCATCTTCTTTTTTCATGTTCCAGGTCAAAATATCATTCAGTTTTGTGAATGGTGTTGATTCATTTAGTTCACATTGAAGATGCTCGCAAAATTTGGTGAACTGCCTCCATACGCTATTTTTACTCCCGTTTTAACAAACGTCAATTAATTAATCGTCTAGATATGCCAAAAAAGCAAACCTATCCTTATTTGTGGACGTATTGAAGATAATCAAGAGTATTTAAAGCTTCCCGTACTACGCAGTTATTATAAAAGCTACTCTTTACGCGATCCGAGTGGTGTTCATACGACTTTAGTTTACCCTGAGATTCACATACCCACGACTACAGTGCCCTCTATCCCTGACCACCCATTTTGTATTGAAAGCATAGGGCTAATAGCAGTCCATGTACTATATGGTCTAAGTGCACCATGCAAAATAGTCGCTAATGGAGGGTGTTGATTGGTTTCGTCAAACAGGAATCAAAAGTGTGATTGGTTGATAATTGACATTTAATAGACGAAGGAAATAATCAGAGATATCGACAAGAAGCCGTTTTCATATGCGTACACTTCTTCGGAGTGTAATCTTTAAAGAAATATACTTGCTTGTAGATATATATGGAATAAAGTACAGTGTATTGTTAACAATGGCAGAAATAATAATAATTACAAATCATAAGGCCGTTACTGTTCATCAATTTAGTGTTGTTTTTTTGGCTTCGTTAATTTACATGCGAAACCATTTTTTGGCATTCCTATTTGCAGTCTGGAAGTAGGTAAACTTCAATTTCCTATACCTTCAATTAGCTATCTGTTTGTTGCCATAAAATGTAAGTTTACCATCGGTAACCATGCACAAGTGTCATAACCGCACTAAATGAAAACTTGCAAGTTTCTTGCAATTCTTGATTAGGGTACTTACCTATCGCATTAAAAGTTATTACTATGTTCTCAAGCCATAATGAAATGGAATTTGAACAAAAAATATGCCGATCATTTTAACAATTTCGTTTAAATTTAGAATTGTCATTGTAAATTAAATCAGTTCCACCAACCAATTTTGAGTGATATTTTTGCCGGCCTAGGCCAGCAAATCATAACTTTCTGGACTAATTTGGCTACAGAAAACAAAGCTTTGAAGCAGGGAGACACAAAAATAACTATTATTTTATTCCCGTGTATATAATAATTTAGAGGTACTTTTAGCAGAGCAGTGCTGCAGCTGCGCTCGGAAAATCGTACCTTCCAGCGTGTCTACCGAGACCTTAGCAACATCACGCGATGGGTAGACGATTTTTTTTGGGTTTCTGATGCGACATCAACTTTTTCGAACCAAAATTTCGTCTTTGTAGAAATAAGTTCAATCGAATAATTTTTATGCAACTAGCGTGGGTGGTATACTTGTGATAGCAACGCTCCCAGCTCGGTAGACTATTACCATACTTCATTTTTAGGTATACTTAATTACTGTACAAACTTTCATTCTTGTAGAAATGAGGCATGTACATATATTTATTAACATGTTCAGAACATTGTTGCAAATTTAGGCAACACCGCCGACGCGGCAGACTACCGTTTTGTTTACTTGTACTATCAAAACAATAAAATGGCAGAATATCAGCTTTGTAGAAATGAGTGCACAAAAAATATCGCTGCCTCCTGGACCATAATGAGTGACAGCACATATACACAGTGACTTTCATCACCCTAACATGGCCTACTACTGAGGCAATACCTAACTATTGAACGGAGTATAGTATAGGTATAAAAATCGTTAATTTAGTGATGTTTTACGTAGATCATCTGCCTATTATAAAGCTATTATTTAGTTGCTGTTATAAAAGTCAGTCAGAGCGTACTTATAGTTGTTTTGCTTATTATTCCGATTTGCAGGAGAAAAAGTTGCTGTGAAAACGGTGCGATATTTGGATGGAAATTATTACACAAAAATCGGAATTTTAAAACTGCCAATTTCTTCTTCACATCTAATGCGGAACCTATTGAAATATTGCATCGAGGGTGTTTTTTTAAGTAACTATATAAGTGTGTTAAATGGTCGCCTTTTTCTCATCTAACCTTATTAGCTTTTAGAAAACGTAAATATGTTCTGTGTAACGTAATCAGCAGTTAAACTCAAAAGACCGAAAGACGCGTCGCGCCGCGCCGTTAAGCAATCCCCCTTTGCAAATTCCGCTAGCGACGGAAACGGTTAGCGTCGCTCTCGACTCCGAATACAAAAGGACTTTCCACATTCAACTTCCCTACTGCAGTTATAGGTGTTTATTATATTGAGTTCTAAATGACACGATGTATCTGTTTCGGCGTTACTGCTGCTTAGCGCGCGGAATAGACGTTGGGGGAGGCGAACGTGGGTAAGCGTGTAGTACACTTCCGAAGTTAATTTTCATTAGTACACTGCAGGGAGATTTATCGGGGTAGTTATCAGTACAGAAAATGGATACGCTCAAGTGTCAGTTTATTAAAGATTAACAATCCGTAACAAATAGTCGACGATATATGCCAGTGGGGGCAATAAAGCACAAGTGTTCCATTCTTTTCGCAATAGAATATTTATGCCTTAAACGAGCTTATTTTGATTTTATTTTTTTTATAAATAAACCAAAAGGAGTAATGCATCGCACCTATTTTGTAGAGAATTTCAGTGACATAGAATACTCCAGAAATTTCCAATTAGCCTCAAAAAGTTTCAAATTTAATTAAATATTTGTTCGTTGTAAATAACTATTACCTATGTAAGTACTTATTAAAATTACCTTTTTGTCTTTTACAAACACTTCACAAATTTCACAAACTTTTCACTTGATAGAATTAGGTACTTTAAAGCTCTGAGTAAAAAAATAATTGAATCTTATAACAAACTTTGGTTTAAAATTTACCCCCTAATCATACAATAAGTATGTGGGTATATAGTTTTGGCGCGCTTCGGTATATTTGATAGGTGCTTTTCTCTAGGTACATATTAGTTTTGCATACGAGGCAATAATAGTTAGGCTAAAGAGTGGAAACGTGGAGTAATAGCCTAATAGCTAAGGGTTGGAGTGGTTTTGTCTAAGATTATCTATAGGCCTTAGGTCATAATCAACTTACGAAAGTAGTGTCGAAAAAATCGACCTGCAGAAACTCACTAAAGTTTAAATAATTTCATTTAACAAGCACAAACTTTAAATAGTTAAATGGATAAGCGCGGTGTTATTAACGAACTCTGTTAAAACTAAAGGTACCGAACTGAACGTAGTATAATAACACTTTTACTTTCATCACAGATCAGTTCCGAGTTGGGCAAATCGAAATAAAATTGATTCAATAATTCGTAAAATCGATTAAGTAAATTAAAAGGGCAGATTACGTCTTGAACACGTAATGAGACGTTAAAAGGACCCGTTCCGGACGACCAAACGTTCACTCTAGTGGAAGCGTCTAACGCGTCTAGCACCTGAGTGCGTTCGAATCCTTCGCGAGGTGAACTGATAACGTGCCACAATCCATCATGTGTAGCAACCCTCGTACCTTTTGAGGTGTGTGCAGATGTCAGTTCTCGTCGCGTACGCCAATGGTGTACAAGTTCGCGCGCCGGAACCAATCGTGAACTCCGAGGGTTGGTTCCAGGACATCGATTATACCGCCGTAATTGCTCATTCGTCCGGAAGGAAACTCCGCCGAGTAGAGGGCACCACGTTTTCGCCCTTCCGATACACGAACCCTTCGCTTGGGGGTGTTAGTGTCGAATTTCTAAAGGGGAGCGCCATTTCTAACTTTGGCAGATGGTATCTAACAGTTAGCGCAGTAATACATTATTTATTTAGATAATGCGGCTCTTTGTGATTGGGCCTATAACCTGTCGATCAATTTTAAAGTTAATCTCCCCATTATGCAACGCACTGAATATTTTAGTCATATTAGTTTGTAGAATATGAACCTATATTAATTTCATTATTCTCTTCATCTGGCTGCAGAGAGGTTTCCAGTTAAAACACACTAGTTACGCGTACTTATCCGTATTTATAGGATAGGATAAGTATAGTCGCCTTCTACAAATACGAATATAACTAACATGATCTGCATGCATTTAATGCACCTACTTTTCTATTACAATAATAAGTAGGTGCGCAATATTTTGTTAACCAATTATATTACCTAAGGCTTTTGTTCCAAAATAATTATTCGTTATTATATAAAGTTGAGAAATGAATTATAGAGCGATTTATGTTACGCACAAAAGGGAAGGATTTCTAGAAACGGTTTTTAAATCCAATAACCTGCAAGTTATATTTTATCCTAAAGAAGTATAGATACATTACCTACTCGTACCTATATCTTTTAAAATTTTAATCATCTATCGGACACTTTTTTCTGATTTAGTTAAACGAATGACGGTTGTCCTTATGCCGCTTTTTTGCGTAATTGTGGTAGCTGACTATTATACTCGAAAACAGGTGTCGAAGTTTGTAAAAATTAGCACATTTTATACTGGGTGCCCATTATGTATGGAATGTAGTATATACTCGGTAAATATCGACCATAGACAAAATTTTTTATATGAAAGTTGTTTAACATTTGATTTCCCATAAATTAGGCAGTATTCCATTGTTTTTATTTCAGTAAACAATTGAATTTTTTTAAATAGCAATGCACACTTTGATTAGGCTCATTTGAAAGAAGAAATTAATTTTTATTTCAAACTTTTTGTGAACATATAGGTAAATGAAATTAGCGGTGTTCCCTTATATGTACAATGTATCATCACTTACTTTGTGAGCCGATTAGGAGAATTGTAAAGAAACGTGTGTTCCCCTGTCGGCCGTAATTAGGCAGAAACTTATCCAGACACTAGGTATACCTATAAATGGGAGTTTGGCAAACCCGTAGGTATGTATTAGAATGTCATAAGGTAACGACCGTAAGCGTAAGCGGCGTTTATTCAACGTTAATTAAATAAATATAGTTTAGGAGAGGTGACTTTTAATTGTTGGGTATCTCCCAACATCACAGTCTCAAATCGACACTCTCAATTTTGTTTTTTGAACGCATACCTAAATTGGTTTTTAGGATCGAGTACAAACGAGAACTCCAAACAACGCTTTTACCTCACCGTTGGGAAATGGTAGAAATAGACAAAAATTCACAATTCCCAAGAATAGTTCAACGTTATTTTTCGCTGAAACAAAATTGAAATCATGCTCAAAATTTTCATATTTGTGGAAGTCAAATAGCACATGCGCAGAACTTAACTTCCGTTAACAGTCTTACATCTGTGTTTAGCAGTATATTTCAATACAGGGTGTTTGGTAAACATGCGGCAAAAATGAAAGAGGTTATTCCTTGGACTATTCTAATGTTATTTTATCCTTTGATGATTTTTGAAAAAACGCTTCGTTGCGAAGATACATGTGTAATTTCTGCCCTTATTACTTAAACGGTTGTTTGTGAAATCCTCTATCATGGCTCATTATTCGAATGCGTTTTTTCAAAAATCATCAAAGGATAAAATATCATTAGAATAGTCCAAGGAATAACCTCTTTCATTTTTGCCGCATGTTTACCAAACACCCTGTATATGATTCCAAGGTATTTATTAGAATAAAAAATGTATGCTTAAAAAAAATTTTTGTAACAGTGTGAGATGTCTGATTTCAAAAAACAAACTTGAAACAACGGGCACCGCAGCGTATACAGGGTGGCAATTTGAAAACTTACCACCCCCCCATGTTTTAGTAAATAAACGAGATATTTTAAAATATCAAAATCCGTTTTGGTAATTCGGAGGGGGAATCACAATGACATAGTTGGCGACGCACCCCCTGCGCCCCAGTCACCCCAACTTTTAAATCTTAAATAGTGACCCCCCATGTGTGATACGTCGTTGGAAAGCTCTGAAGCAATGCTTTTCAACCATACCAAATAGCATTACATTTAGGTTAGTAATTATCCTGCAAATCAAAAAATAAACTAATATGATACGTTTGAAATCTGTCGTATTTAAAACGCAACCGGCGAACATAGACGAACTAAGACAGATAATAATAATTCAAGAATGTCGAAATATTGCAAAACCAACATTTGAAAAGGTTCGACAAGAGTTTCAGAATAGATTATACTACTGTCTTACCAATAACGAAAACCATTTTGAACATTATTGAAATAAAAGCCAACTTTAGAAAATGTATCATATTAATTTATTTTTTGATTTGCACGATAATTACTAACCTAAATGTAATATGCTATTTGGTATGGTTGGAAAGCATTTACTATTTAAGATTTAAAAGTTGTGGTGGCTGGGGCGCAGGGGGTTGGAGGGGGTGCGTCGCCAACTATGTCATTGTGATTCCCCCTCCGAATTACCAAAACGGATTTTGATATTTTAAAATATCTCGTTTGTTTACTAAGACATGGGGGGTGGTAATTTTTCAAATTGCCACCCTGTATAGAGACACCGGTGGAAATACATTAACCTCGAAACAATGGAGTCACAGTCCAACAATGTAAGAATTTCGATAGCCGCAACTTTTAAAACAATGACAGCTTGTTATGTGAAAATGAAAATAGTTTCTTGATCTAGTTTTTCTGATTTTGCATTTTGGTCAGTTCATACAGGTTTATTTTAAAATTTAACGTCACTTTGCTTTCTGCCTTTAGCGAGTACAGTCTTGTTCGTCCTAATTTTATAATTCAATTTTCGTATACCTAAGTTTGTGCTGTGGGTAACAAAAAGTAAT